TTTTTCTGGACAGCGTGAACAAGATCTGACTTTTAAAGTCCATTGCCAAAGTCCTGCCAAATTGTCAAAATCTGCAACTCAGTAACCGCTCGGTTTTGAGCTGTTGAAATTTGGCATGCAGTCTGTTAATATCATGTTTTTATAATACAAACTGCAGTGGTAACAAACATTTAGTTTTAGTTTTGCTTTTTTTTTTGCTCTCTCTCTCTCTCTCTCTCTCTCTCTCTCTCTCTCTCTCTCTATATATATATATATATATATATATATATATATATTTAAAACAAGAAGTCAGCTTGCTTACATTTAACTGAGCAACATGAACTCTTCAAACCATCAAGCTGCACGCGTTTCCTATGTGTTTCACTCTCACGTGATTATCTTTAGAATCAGTCTCCCGTGAGTTGCAGTTTTTTCATTGTATGCGGGATAGGCTATCAAAATAATCACGACGCATCGCTGCACATGCGAAGTCATTTACAAACCATCTCCAGGCGTGTGTCAATTACTGTATATACTTGTTTTTAGTGGTACACAATTTATAAGCCAAACAAATTTTTTGTTTAAATCGCCGCTTTAAGCAAAAAGCAGCACCTGTGCAACTGTAAAATATAAATTCATAAGAGTCGACCGGTACAGGAGTTTTCGAAATGTTAGGGCATGAATTTTGAACCACATCATAATTATTGACAGTATTACTAACGGAAACACCGGAATGCTAGGTGTTGGCCGCTGATTGTCGGCCCGAAATTCTAGCGTTCAAATCCTCTCGAGACGGATTTTTTTTTTCTCCAGAATGACTATCTTGCCCAGGTCGACCCGTCCTGAAATTAATACCAGGTGATGTCCTGGGAAATAAAGGTGGTCAGTACTGGTTGTATAAAACTGAACTGAAACTAAAAGGGCAGCTAAAATTACTACTGATCGACTACAAACAGTCATTACCTCTTTCAGTCCAAAACAACGTGTGATGTGTTATCGGCACTTACATTAATCCCTCCCAACATGTAAAAAGTTATAATCTTTTTTATTACTGGTGGTTACCAATGTGTAGTTAAGAATTCTGACTTTCCCAGCATTTACCTTCTTTGAAAGGAATACAGTCATGGTTTCTTGTACTGGTTATTTATAGATACGGGGATCTCCAGTGAAACTTTCTGGTACTGAAAGGTAAAAAGGATAGGTAAAAATTAGTTGCGTATCCTTTACAGGATATTGCAGAACCAACCCCAGCATTGTTTGGCTGTTGTGATTTTTCTAGGCAAATTTGTTTCCGGTAGTTTGCCATTTGCTTTCTGTGCGTGTGGCTTCTTGATACCACGTCGAAACCAGCGCAAGAGCAAAGTTTCGCAGCTGGGATTGAACCCTGCACCCCAGCATTACGAAGCGCATTTGCAATGCCTAAGGCACAGATGCTAACGCGCAGGTTCGAGTGAATCAAATTGTCACAACAGGATGAGTTTAATGGTATGTATGACAGAATCACTATTGTAGAGTTCTGACAGAGAACTTAACGGAGGTGGAAAACACAAAGCTGGCGTGTCTGGAGTCGACATGCACATAAAAAAAAACTGAAAAGAAAATAATTAGAATGACCTTAAACTGGAACTAAAGGATCAAAAGAATCAAGGCGGACCGAAACAAACAAAAATATACATACGCGCGCGCGCATAAACACATCCACACACACACTCACACACACACACACTCACACACACACACTAACATGGTTACAGAGTTTAAAGAGTACAGTGAAAGTGCTGGAGATGATGTAATGCACAAGAAAAGGACAACACAAATAAGGAGATATGGAGTCAGTTGGTTAAGGGTATAAACTCGGCTTGGGAAATGCGCGACAGCAGAGGTGAGAGGGAGGCAAGAAGAGGAAACGGATTCGATGCAGTCATTATCCAGCATTGCTCATAGTTCATTTCTGAGATCATCTACATCTGACATGACCATAAGTTCGCTCATCTCCTCCCGAGAATGTCTCCAAGTGTTTTTATGCTTACAACTCCCATTCGGTTCCTGTTGATGTAACAACGGGTAGCTCCCGCATGGTTCATTAAAAGGCTATCATTCTGTACTTGATGTCTGCACTAAATAAGGTTTCTCTCCTTAACTCCTCTAACGTATTCGGCGCCCAAGTCTGCGACAAATATTGGAGATTTTTTCACTAGAGTGATAGAATCAATGAACTTCTTACACTCAGTGTGCTCCATCAAACTGTCGAATCAATCTTTCCGCTCTTTATTACTCAAACTGTGGCACTTACATCCTGACACTTTCTCAGCCACCGTCTGCATGTCTCAGCCCCTCTGTGTCTTAGCTACTGTCTGTGTGTCTTAGCTACTGTTTGTGTGTCTTAGATACTGTCTGTGTGTCTTAGATACTGTCTGTGTGTCTTAGATACTGTCGGTGTGTCTTAGCCACTATCTGTGTGTCTTAGCCACTATCTGTGTGTCTTAGCTACTGTCTGTATGTTTTAGCTACTGTCTGTATGTTTTAGCCACTGTCTGTGTGTCTTAGCCACTATGCGTGTGTCTTAGCCACTATGCGTGTGTCTTAGCTACTGTCTGTGTGTGTCTTAGCCACTATATGTGTGTCTTAGCCACTATGTGTGTGTCTTAGCTACTGTCTGTGTGTCTTAGCTACTGTCTGTGTGTCTTAGCCACTATATGTGTGTCTTAGCTACTGTCTGTGTGTCTTAGCCACTATCTATGTGTCTTAGCTACTGTCTGTGTGTCTTAGATGCTGTCTGTGTGTCTTAGCCACTATCTAAGTGTCTTAGCCACTATCTGTGTGTCTTAGCCACTATGTGTGTGTCTTAGCAACTGTCTGTGTGTCTTAGGTACTATCTGTGTGTCTTAGCGACTGTCTGTGTGTCTTAGATACTGTCTATGTGTCTTTGCCACTATCTGTGTGTCTTAGCTACTGTTTGTGTGTCTTAGATACTGTCTGTGTGTCTTAGATACTGTCTGTGTGTCTTAGATACTGTCGGTGTGTCTTAGCCACTATCTGTGTGTCTTAGCTACTGTCTCTGTGTCTTAGCTACTGTCTGTGTGTCTTAGCCACTATCTGTGTGTATTAGCTACTGTCTCTGTGTGTCTTAGCCACTATCTGTGTGTCTTAGCCACTATCTGTGTGTCTTAGCCACTATCTTTTATTGGTGGGGGGGGGGGAGTGTTGGCAGCGGACTAAAAGACAAACAGCCTGTTCAGATATATGTCTTAAAAGGCTACTTATTAAAGAGTGTGTTGAAAACGGCTTAGTTATCCGAAACTTGAGATAACGCAGCCTCGCTGTAAATTATAACGCAATATGTCAACCGTCCCTTTCAAGGGCGACACAAACAAATCTGAGCAAGAAGAGTCAGATCAATAAAGATTCAATGATATGCCCACATTTCACATGTGGGCATATGGACTGGCTGGCTGACTGCACTCAGAGGAAATGCAAGACAGACATTTATCCAGACTGTGAAAAGTACCATCAGTATTGGAACTGCGCTTGCTGCTGAATATGAGGACGGAGCATACATGTTAATGCCCCGAGTACTGTGATGTCAATTCTTGACTCAACTCAACTCAACTCTATAAAATATATGTCTAGACCTATATATATATATATATATATATATATATATATATATATATATATATATATATATATATATATATATATATATATATATATATATATATATATACGCTTTAAGGCTCGGAAAAAGGTACTTTACTAGAATAATGACGCAGAAACACTGGCTGTTTGATTCATTCAACCAGAGAGACTGCAAATTCGGTGGATCTGCACAAAACGATGAATAATTCAAACTTCAAGAAGTCAGAATAAAGGAAAGATCGACAGGTCGATTCATTTACAGCATCTGCCTAATCCGATCTTGCATTTAAATGTTACTTCATCGAGAAGAACAGCTTTTCAAATGCACCCTACGGCGGGAGCTGTCTTACAACACAAAAGCAGACAATGTAAGTCCCCGGTCAGTCTCGCAGATTCATTGCGAACACGTCAACCCGCAGATTCAGCCCTAGCTTGCAAGACATGAAGATGCATCCAGGAACAGTTTTGAATCTTTGTTCTAACTCACGGCCGCCTCGCATAACTTTGCCAAGCCCTCTACAAACTTCTGACGGGAACTGAATGGGAATATGACAATATCAGGCACAACAGAGTTAGTATAGATAATGAGTAAGTAAATCAGAAATATTCGTTTCGAAGAAACCCTTTATAGTGTTTAACGATGCAAATACGTAGTGATCTGGTAATCTTAGTTTCAGCTTTATAGCAAACCAACAACCAAAAATACACAGTGAGACTAGGTTCACGCAAATCTCCCCAAACAAAGTAGGTAGGAGGTGGTGGAAATTTAGGCTTCTTAGCTCGGATTAGATCTATAGAACCGCCCCCCCCCACCCCTTTCCTATGTTTTCCACTTTTTTGCCTAAAAAATGAGCGTTAGAAATTTTGACGAACATCTATAAGTGTCTAACAACCGGAAACGCTAATCAATTATGAAAGAATACACGTGCAGATTACAGACAGGGGCAATAATCATGATGGAAGAAACATCCATTGATGGCTGCGAGAAATTTCTTCAAACGAAAATCGAATTAATGAAGACTCTAACGAGCTCTTCAAGTGCGGAGATGTAAAAGCTTTCCCGGGTATTTGTAGACATCAAAAGCTAGAATGTGAAAGAAAGAATACACAGAACACAGCTACGTCGTGGTTTTTTAATAACCGCACGCATTATTGGCAAGCTCCAAAGAGAACGAGATTTTGTATGAATGTAACACGTTCTTAAATATTAGAAAATACAATGTTTGTATCAAGAAAAATCAAAACTGGTTGTCTTAAAAGAGTTACATTACAATCTCCCTGTGGTGTTCTCCCATGCAAGACGATGCTCATTTGTTGTTAGATTCTTCGCCTCCTTAACCCAGAATGACACCATAATGTTATTGTGTTTCCTTCATTCAAAC